AACAAATAGAGTTCACCTCCAAAGGCTATCGTATGCTGTCATAAATCACTGGCATCTACAGACTCTTGTGACAGGATTCAACTTTTCCTGTGAGGCTTGCAAAGAACTACAGGCAATCAACACAGAACAGAAAACATCTTATGCACAACATGCAATAAGAATGGGTAGCTGTGCATCTTGGAACATAATATACAGTAGCAAAAGGGTGGCTGCCAGTGTGATAGAGGTGATGGAGAAAATCTATTGCTAGAAAAAATGATATGATATAGCTTTTTCTTCATGAACTTGTTAGATTGATATCATCTCAACATACATTGTATATAGAAGCATTTGCGCTTGCAACAGTTCATTGAAAGTATACAAAGGTGTAGGTGTGCATAAGGATAACATAAGAAGTATGGTGAGCAGGGCACACATTATGTAGGTGGATATGCACACGCACATCTAACACTCTGGGTAAGAAGGACGGTGGGAATGTTGCAACTCAAGAAGTAGTTACATATATTGTTTATCATTGTTATTTTGCAGAGTCTTGTCGGCAGGCTCATTTCAATAATTGGAGAGAGAGAGAGAGAAAGAGAGAGAGAGAGAGAGAAAGCCAGAGAGACAGAGAAGTGTATCATGCTGTTGGCTAAGATCATGCCACCTTTGTGGTGGTATAGCTATTCAAAGATAATGGTATGTTTGCTTCTTTTAAGCATCAATTTAAACTATGGCCAAGATCCAAACATACATGATCTAGCCTGCACCCAAGGGGCAGTTGCAGTCACTATTGTCAAACATACCTATCAAAAAACTCTTTGCATATAAATTTTATCAACAAATGAAGTAATGGTTATCACTGAAGAACTTGGACACATTTCCTGTTTGCCATCTTGTATCTTGTTTTGTAGATCCTTGTTGGCAGGTTCATTGTAAGAAAAATACTGTAATCATTATTAGAGGCAGCTGCAAGTGAAATTCCTCAAGCCGATATCAGCAATAGATGGCGTAACAGTGATAGAAGGTTTGATTTGTTTAAAGCTTTGTTTATTGATTGTTTTTGCTGCCTGTCAATGTTTTGTGAGGTCAGAGTCACCAAACCTGCACAGGCACCAAAACCAAACAAAAAAAACAAACCACTAGCCACTAGATGCACCAAACCTGCACAGGTGTGTATGTATTGCTTAATATATATGCTTATTATCATAATATATATATATATATACACGTGATATTATGTAATTGTTTTTCTTCTAATGTCAAGTTATAACACTGCTACTATATTATAAGCTATATGGTCCATGGCAACTCTGTTTTCGTAGTATTGGCCTAGTAGTCTCTTGTAACTTCCCATATCATATTTTCAGTACATGGTTCCCATTTTATATATCAGTTTGTTGGTTAAAACTCCATTTCGACTGTTCAATCTTCCTAGACCTTCCAAATACCAAAACAAATTGGTAAACGTACTAAACTATGGAGAAAAAACCAGCACTTGGAGGGCCTATGGGTTGATATCTCTTTCTGTCCAGTTTGACCGGTCTCATTTGGGAGACTTTCTGCCCACTGAGGATTGCCGAAAACGTTCACCCAGACGATTGGGTCATGTTACTCGGCTGGGAGCAATTGATTTGGGACACTTCGTCCAGGTGCTATTGTCACATTTCCAGACTTTCCATGTGCAACCTAAGACAATCCAAGTACGTGCATATATAACATTATAATACATTATATAACTATATGATATCATTGATATCTACAGCACAGTAGTTTGTATGTAATGTAATATCCATGGTCTAATACATATAAAAGTGCTACGTTGGATGAAGTATCGCAATTCCACGTCTATATTGCATGCATAATGGTGTCATTATGCTGCAGATAGGACCCTGGGAGAATTTCGACCATTTGCTTCCGGTGCCCAAAAGTGGCACGATATGACAGGACTTCTTATGGGGCCATCAATTGAAAGGTCGTCTTTCTGTCAAGATCTGCAGTTGTCATGGGTCCAAAGAAAATGATTGTTGGTTGCAAACCAACTTCGGGCTGGCAAAGTCGAAGGTTTCGGGTTTGTCGGTCATGTCATGTCATGTCCTCATTTTGAGGGCAGGGCCTATGCTATTCCCCATGTGATGCTTGTTTCAGCCACAGGTTGAAGGTTGACATTGAGGGTGCAGAGTACAACTTGCTGCCATGCTTGGCGCAGTTCAAGGATGCAGGCGCCACATGTGTTGGCTTATTGCTGGGTGATTTGCAACAAAAACAATCAACCCGAATCAACCCGCTAATAGATACAGTAGAATCAGTAGATAGATTAGATTCGATAGGAAGGGGAATGGATCTTTTCGGGGTATGAAAAACAGTGCTAGAATTTAGTATGGCTGATGCATCCCGATCGCACGTAGGTCAGACTTGAAGAGATGTGATCAACTTGTTTGTTCGTGCGAACATTCAAAACATGGTTGAATGTTCGAAGATGTTCAATCATGTTCAATCCCATGTGTACATTATATATAGTTATATATATATATTATAATTATATAAATTATATATATATAATTATATGTATATATGTGTAGTGATTACTGCAATTGCTGGACTGAAGCTAGTGACAGATTCTCTGATTACCACAATTACCAAGGGATTGAGGACGAGTGCCTTCCGGTAATCAGACATGGCAACGGAACAACTTTCTTCGATATAGATGATTGTCCCATTAAAACCATCATATTTATATAAAGGTTGTTTTTCCATCTTTTCCCAGCTAGCCATGTTTGACGAAGGTTAGGGTACCTAACGTAGAGTAGCAAATCCCGGTTAGCAGCCCATCCTAGTGAGGCTTGGTCGATCGGATGTACTTGGAAGAGCACTGGTGGTTCCCATCCATTACGGCTCCCCTGCTGCACACGGCAGGGTTCAGAATGTGGCAGTTGAGGGTTGATTTTGATGATATTGATGGTTGGTTGGATGGTTGAGAGACAGAGGTAGCAGCAGGTGGAAAGTGTTGGAAAACTGGAATTTGAAGGAAGGCAAGTTGCGATTTGCGCAGGTAACGTTTTTTGTGCACGCATCCAGATGTGATTTTTTGCACGGGTCAGGCAGGCCACGTGGAACCTACGGGGTATTGAAACCACAGCAACAAGAAGGTGTTTTGAAGTATACTGTATCATATTGATATGATATGATGTGTGTAAGTTGATTTGGCTGGTGGTTCTAGATCTTGGCACAGTTTGAACCCATCACCCCAATTGGAATGATGCTGATGATGACGATCATGATGACAATAGGATGATCATGAAATGAACATGATATGAACATGAACCATAATATTATGGTGGTGATGAGGGTAAACATGAATAGTGATTCCGTGATTATTCATTGTGCAACATGCATGATGATGATGATGATGATGATGATGATGATGATGATGATGATGATGATGATCCTTAAAAACTCATACGCTCCAGTGGGTGCTTCAGCCATCAAACAGATAAGCCAAAGCCCCAGCACACCCTCCTGGAAACAGCATGGGAACCCCGCAAAAGGGGGCTGCAAGATGATTGTCCGGACTCTGCTGTGACTTCAATGTAGTTTCCATATTCTAGTTGCCTAGTTATCCTGGACATAGCTTTTGCCATAAAATGAGGTTAAACAGCATAATTAAAACAGTTAACCCATATGCCTACAAAATCCTGATATAGACTCGGAGAAACAATTATTCGCATTGTTTTGGGGTCCATATATATATATATAGAGTTCCATTGTAGTTCTCAGCTGGGTACCACCCATTTCGGCAAAGGAAAGCTCCAAGTCCGCCCTCGCTGAGAGCAAGAAGCAACTGGCAGCTCGAGTCTCAGTGTCCCAACAATTCAGTTTTTGGCCAACGAATATGGATGAAACAATGCCCGCAAGGAGTGAGATTTGACCCACAAACATTTCGACTTTAGAATACTTTAGACTCAGAAGAAGGGGTCAAACCTAATTACAATGCCAACAGGTGACAAACAACGTCAAACAACTGGATTTTGACCCATAAGAATGAGATGAATGAGAATTCAACCAAGTCAAACCCCAAAAAAATGAGAAACGCATCAAAGCCTCATTACTGGGTAGCTTCGGAGATGTCATCATGGCAGCTCTGGGGCTGATCCAATATGTAGACATTCTACATGCTTTCAGCTGAGAAATGCATTGAGAATTCAGTAAATGACATGTCAATGAACTGTTTTTTTCTTGGAGTTTTCTCTTGACAAATGACCAGAATTCCATTTCCTTAGAGTATACATATATATATATGTATATATATATATAGCAACAACAGACTATGATTATTGTTTAAACAATATTTGACATATAAAACTACGTTCTTTAGGCGACATACTGCAGGTAAAGATCGGGTGGTACTCCAGCTTCCTTGAGGCCATGCATGTGGACATCCCCAAGTACTACAGCGCATCCTAGAGATCCTAGCTGCGCCGATGCGCCAAGCACAGCACAAAATTGGGGCCGCCAAGGGGTGACCTCCGCGAGTGCTTAAAATGTTGCCAGCAGTGCCCTTGAGGATTTTCGGTGAAAGATTTGGTGCCCTTGAAAACATGGATAGGATTTGAATATAATTATATATATATATGGATTATATATATATATGGATTTATAGGTTTCTGCTAGGAAAGTGTTCCATCTTTTGCGGGAGAACCATATTTTTGAAGATGTGTGTTACCTTGAAATGCCATTCAAGTTGAGTGGCTCCTTGAGCGAGTTTTTTTCTTTTGGCATGGCATTCCTGCTTTTGAACACATGCAAGACCTAAAGTCATCTAAAGTCCACCAATTTCTGTGGATTGACTTGGCGCATCTAGGCCTAGGCCAATTCATTGAGCCAAAAGCCATTGAATTTCTCTGAAGCCATTGCGGCCTAGAACTTGCCAATTACCACATGCCCTGATGCATCTCGGGTTCTGTCGGTTGTATGAAAAACCAGGCAAAAGAAGTAGGGTAGGGAGACATTGGATTTCTCAGATGAATCAGCTAAGGTGTCCTTTAAACTTTGTGCCCCCAAAGATCTGTAAGATTTGGTGGCGCTTCGAATTTCATGAGCTTCGAGGAGCCTTGAACTCTGAAATTTGATGTGTAAGCACATTCACCCATATATAATATATAGATGTACAGTAACGAATAGTAACACCCCAAAAAGGTTTGAAAATAAAGTCAAATCCCACTATAATGGTGGCAAAATGATGTTTCATGTCTTTGGGGATAGCCATAAAATCAGCCAAGTCATCATTTTCCCAACCACCGGGGCTGCCTTTTTCGGCCGCCAAAAATGGGGAAGCCAAAACCGCAGCTCCGATGCGGAGCGCCAGCGGTGCGTTCCTGTGCTGCGCCTTGGCCGGTTTCAATTGCCCAATTGATGTGGCGAAATGGTGAGAATCCATCGATGATCTAGAACCCAAGCCAGTTCTATGAAAAAGATATATATATATACATATAGATATGTATATATATATATATATTTATTTATATAGATATACAGGTAATATAGATAATTATTTATACATCTGTGTGTATGGAGGTTGATACGTATATATGTAGATAGATAGATAGTATAAATAGATAGAAAAATGGATGGATGGATGGATGGATGGATGGATGGATAAAATGTATAATATGTATATAATATAAAATATATAATATATATTATATAATTTAATATATATATATAATATAATATAATATAATATAATATATAATATAATATGTATATATATATAATATATTATATAATATTAAATACACAATATATAATATATAATATATAATTTAATATATAATAATATATTTATATATATATGAAGGAAGTGTTCCTAAGTCATGGGGGGTGCCAGCCAAATCCTCCAAGTCATGGATGTTCATGACTATGGACTGAAACAGATGGTGACTTGGGGATCCCCCAGTTGAAGAACCTACCCCCAGAATGGCGAAATGGTGATCATCCACTGGATTTTGGGCTACCATTTTTTTTCAAACACACCCACCTCAATGAGAAAACAAAACATGGTCCCAGAAAATGCTAGAGCGACGCAGGGCAACGCTCAAGTGTGGCACCAAACTAACTTGATATGACTTGATATAGGGGTTTTACCTTGGTTTCTCCCTCTCTTTGATCTCAAATGCTGATGGCTGTAGTCCATCTTGACGCAGTTTCAGGACGGGGGTGGTTTGACTTCCTTGGCGATTTGGAATATTCAGGGTTTCCAGTTGAATACATCCGTGGCTTTAGGACATCAGCTGGCCAAATGTCAACCAATTGGCCCCGGCTGAACTGCAATAAACTTGCACATTGAACATGGTAATTAATTTAGTGAGATTTGATAGTGCAATTTCCTGTGGAAAATCACAATGTTAATGTTAAATGAGTAAATCATCTATAAATACGCCATTGTGCATAGGTATGTCGAATTTAGCCAAAGGAACCGATTGCCAAGTTTGGCCCTGTCGTGTTCATTGGAACTTTGATGGGGGCACTTGGGCGCCACTGAAGGTGTGCAAGCTGCAGCAGCCCTCTACACCGAATGTCGCTGGCCATGGTGTTTTGGGGAGCGTGAATGCTGAGATCCAAGCATGTCACAGACCCAAAAAGTGATCAACATGGAGGCTAAGATTAAGATCTCATACCTAACAAATTCTGGAAACAGGATGTTTTCCTGCACGAGTCTTAGCATGCCAAGTTCATTCATCATTTCGCCATTCTCCAGGAGCCACCCATCATTCCGCAGCTTTTTCGGCTTTCCGAACAACCCGAAGAAACCACCGCGGCCACCGGATCTCGTGGCCACCGGACGCAAAATGGCGGACCTGATTGGTGAACAGATCGGCCACTTGGACGACCTGCACCAATCACCGGATGGGTTTAGGGTGGGGGGACGTATCCCAAGATAGCCGACGTGTGTGCAGATTGGAATTTTAACCCACTGTGAAAAACCAGAGGAATCACCCATGGAATCACATCCAAGCACTGAGATGATCCTCCAAGTATGGGGATGGTCGACGAATACAATGGAGCCATTTGATCAAGATACTTATAGATAGATAGATAGATAGATAGAGAGATAGAGAGATAGAGAGATAGATAGATAGATAGATAGAGATAGAGATAGAGATAGATATACATACAGATAGATATAGATATAGATATACATATAGCTATAACAGGGATAGTAATTAATCAAGATTATTTTTGGCCATAAGATGGTTTGGTGTTACTCATCCAACTGGGGTTTTAAATATCACTGAGAAAAAAAGATCGTCGGCGCAGCTTACCTACCTGGGGCCCGGGGGCCACTTGAGATTTCACCAGCGCATCCAAAACGCCGGTTGGATCTCTCCCTAAGGGAGACACTGGCAATAGGACAGCCAAATGGCCATATGAAAGTTGAAAGAAATATTTGTGTGTTTCCAAACAATGTGGAACCTCGTGTTCTTTGTTTTTCTTTCATTTTTGTTACGGGGGTGTGGGCAA